AAAAAGAAAAATATTGGGGAACTTCTTTTATCTCGAAAAGAACTAACAAAAGAAGCTATTTAGCAGGGAGAGAACTGAGAATGCTGGGACTATCACTTTCCTGACCCCTTTTTCCCCATGTAATAATCAGCTGCCAAAAGCTGTGTCCCGCACGCAGCCGAGTCTTGCACTCCAGCAGTTGCCATTCTTTTGATCTTTAAAGATGAATCGTCAAACCCAAGAGAGGGCCAGGCAACTGTCCAAAAAGAGAGCAGCGAGACGGCAAAGCTTTTAGAAAGAGCTGGGAAGATATCAAAGGAATTGGGGTTATGGTGAGCAGGGGAATTTAACAGGGGTCTGGTAACAGCAGAGTGTGAATTGGCACACAGGACGGCAGGAGGGACAGACACCGTTGCCTGGAGCACCTGTAACAGGCATCCATCCATGTGCTTCTGCTTCTGACGGTAACAGAAACCATTGAGAAGACCCTTGGTCCAGGCAGACTCGAAGGCTGACCTCATGCCATGCTGCCCTGTTGGTATCAAAAGGAGCTTCACAACACCCCTTATTGATGTATCTTATTAGGCCATGACGCCTGTGGCACCTGAGAACATCTCAGCTCATCCAGGGCCTTCTTTCTGCACAAGCCCTGACTCAGCCTCAGCTTAGACTCCAACTCCAGTGGTAGTAACCAGAAGCCCGATCTGCTAGACTGCTCTGCTCTCACAGACCACAGACAGGGCTGCCTGTAGGTTAGGACCATGGCTCCTCATCCTGACAGCCCTGTCTGGCTTGGCCAACTTCTAATTCCACAGTGAGCTCATCCTCCAAGGGGGCCGCTGAGAAACACCTGTGACTTAGAAGAGTTATTTGCCCTTTGAAGGGTTCCCTACTCTGACACATACAGGGCTCTCAGTGCAGATGGACCCACGCTGCCATCTTCTCCTCTTGCTATAGCCCAACTATCCCTGAAGACTGGAAAACAACATTACTAATGGCTCCAATGAGGAGAGACCTTACTCTCTCCACACTGGAGTACTCAACTGGCCCCAGTGAGAGATAACGCTCAGCAACTTTTTCTCCACGTAATGATGTCAATGTCTCATCGATCCCAATGGGAGAGAGGGTGAGGTGTGATACTATACGCCAGCACAGTTCAACACCCCTACATAGCCCCTGGCAGACTGCTCACTAAATACCAACTCAAGACCCTGTCAGCTTCTCCTCTCATATTTACAGGTAGAGTTTGCAAAGCTCAAGGCACGTTTCCTCGACTCCCTTGCAGCAGCATTTTATATGGGAACAAGTTTCCATCAACCAGGCACACTTAAAAGAGTCTTAGAGGTAGAAGTGAGTACCTAGGAAAAAAAGGGGCCAAATTTAGAGAGATTGGAAATTACAGCAAGAAAGGAGATGAGAATGTCTGGTTTTGTGATTGAGGACAGCACAAATGATGCAGTTTCCAGTGTGTGATTCTCAGCACTGTGTGTGCCGAGCAGTGGGTGATTTCAGCAGGAGGGTTTCTGCTATGTCAGCCATGGGTGGTGTGATTAGACATTTCTTTTGGGCCTGTTGCCTTTTGCTGTGTTATTCCTGGAAAATGCAATATTCAGGGAGATCCTCTGGCCCTCCTGGAGATTCTATGAGCTATGTTATACCCTTGAGTACATAAACCTTTTCTACTTATCTAGCTAGAGTAAATCTTGCTGCAAAAGAATCCCTGGAAGATACAGGGTTTTCTTAATTAATAATCTTAATATTCTCAATCTCTCTCTTTTTTTTAATATATTTTTTCTTTATTGACTTTAGAGGGAGAGGAAGAGGGAGATAGAAAGATCAATGACAGAGCACATCCATTGGCCACCTCCTGCATGCCCCCCACTGGGGATTTGGCCCACAACCTGGGCATATGCCCTGATCGGAATCAAAGTGGGACCTCTTGGTGCATGGGTTGATGCTCAACCACTGAGCCACACCAGCCAGGCACAATCTCTTTTCTTAAGAAATTAAGATCTCAAGTGTCCAACACAATCACCCATTTCAGTAATTTATCCTGGCTAGTTTCTGGCAGCAATTCAGCAAGTTCTGGTTACACTCTTTCAGTCAACCATTGACCTTCCCCAGAATAATCCTGTCCTATCCCCAGGAAAGCTGTATTCCAACTGTGCACTTCTGAGTTCTTATGTCTACATAAGAGTATCCAGACACTCTCTTCTGAACATAGACTATCGATGTGGAGGACTAAACATCTTCTCAAGTTAAGTGGGCTCCAGCACAAGGGGATCTCTAGGTAAGGGTTTCCAACTTGATATCTAGTATCATTGAAATTGTGGACTAAAGCAAGAGTTACAGTTTGCACAATATTGACAGCCAAAGGAAGGAACACTTCTATTCCTCAAGAGGCAATGCTGTTAGCTTGGGGTGTGCGGAATTCTAAGGCAATTTTTAGCCAAAGCATGTGGCACATGTAGCAATTTCCCAGTTTAGATGGCAATTCTGGGTATTAAGCACCCTCTCTCCCCACACAAGTCTTTTCATCTTATTATTAGTGATCAAGTTACAACAGTCTCTCCGGTCTTCCCTCAAGTTAATGCTGTGTAGGCTCAGCCTTAACCACATCTTTATGATCCATTCTAGGATTGAAACCATGTGTTTTCACACTGAACACTATGTGGTTTGTTTAATAATCCACTACTGTTTCCCCCCAATAAGAGAGGCCAAGCAAAACAGTTCTCTAAAATGAACAAACAAAACCCAGACAAATAAAACAGAGCCTGATCATATGTTCAATGAGAAGGATAATGATGGGGGGAAAAAGATAATTTCTTGCTATAAGCTCAGGGGCTATAATATGCAATAATTAAACTTCTCTTTCAACAAGGTACTGAGTTTCCTCCAGCACAATACCCTATGCTATTTATTTTGGGAAGTCTGACAGCTATAAAAGGTCCCTTTCTTGTCATTCCCAAATTTGAAAAAAAGGCAGACAATGATATCAAAAGACAATAGAACCTAGAACTGATTCTGCTACTAACCAATAGGATAAATTTGGAGGAATCACTAATTTTTCTCTGTGCTCCTCTGTTATATGGGGGTAACATCAGATGATAGGCAAGGTCCCCAGAAGCCCTACTATTGAATAATTCTAGAGAGTTATCGAACATGGACACGGTTCTGAGGTTAGAATACCCAAGGGCAGCATGCTGTTATTTCAAAAAGCAGCAGGTCTTTGGTGTCGGTCTTTTAATTTGAATCCTGGTTCCACCATTTATAAGCTGTGAAACCTCAGGGAAGTTGTCTAACCTCTCTGAGCCTGTGCTTTCTCATATATAAAGTAGGATAAAGCTCAAATGAAATGAGGAGTGTCTATCATGGTGCTCCATTCAAAACGAGCGGAGTCCCTACCTCCGTTTATCCTTTTCACATACTGAGTTAAAATAGGCAAAAGTATTGATGACATTCTTTCCTGAACACAGGAAGAACATAATTTACAACTGTATAGCTTTGAGAAAAGATTAGTTACATGAACTCTCTACGCGTCTTTGGTGGATTTAGTGTGTGAAACCTTTTTGGCTTTCGCACTTACTTGTCGTGCAAGTATTTATTCAGTCCTACTAAATGCTTCTCATGGTTCTAGGCCAAAGGACACAGTAGAGAACAAAATAGGCCAGGCCCTGTCCTCCTGAAAGCTTTGTTCTGATGTTTTCTAGACCGTTTTGGAAATAACATTATGAAAAATGTCTTCTGTCTTTGGGGAGTCATCTTGCATATTAGTATTGGGCTTCACAAAGCTCACCTTCTATTTCAAAGGAAAACAAAACCCATGGAGGTCAGCTCATACCCATATGTGACTTAGGTGAGGGTTAAGACGTCAATATTTAAATTTGGGGGAGGGGAACCCAATTCAGCCCATAACACCAGTGAGGTAAAAAAATTTTGTCTTCCCCTTCTGGCTGGTGTGACTCAGTGGTTGGCGTCAAATCCTGCATCAAGAGGTCACTGGTTTGATTACCAGTCAGGACACATGTCCAGGTTGTGGGCCCGATCCCCAGTGGGGGGCATGCAGGAGGCAGCCAATCGATGTTCTCTCTCATCAATGTTTCTATCTCTCTCTCCCTCTCCCTTCCTCTCTCTCTAAAATCAATAAAGAAAAAAAGACTTTGTCTTCCCTCAGCTGGGAGTCTATCTGTAGGAATCCATGGCCATGATATTATTGGTTTTGGTTTAATATTTACTTTCTCCAGTGTGAGAGCATGGTTTGACTTCCTGGGAACGAATAGAAAGACAACCGTACCTCATTTTAAAATTCCATGAAAAATGTAGTGGGTGAGCTAATCAAACAAAAAAAGGAAATAAAGTCTCCGAAACCAGTATGAGCACTACAGAACTTACCAAGATATGTGCTGAAAGGAAAAATTTTAAATCATTTAGCTGATGTCATGGAAACCATGTATGTTGAGAATCTGAAACTTGATTTAGAATGTTCTGCCTCATGACCTTTATAAGTTTGTTCAGACTTGTCAGAATGTGGTCCCAATTTAGGGCTTGGAATATATAGTCACCATACAGCAACCCTCTTAATTGGCCTGTTTGCTAACCTGTTTATTTGTGCTAGGAGACTTCTGCAATCCCCTATCTGTGATCTGTGCGGAGGGCTTCAACTGCTTCCTGAAAAGCACTTGTATAAAGCCTAATATATGGAGCTTTCTTTTTCTTTATTGATTTTAGAGAGAGAGGAAGGTAGAGAGAGAGAGATAGAAACATCAGTGAGAAAGAACATGGATCGAGTGCCTCCTGCATGCCCCCCACTGGGGATCAAGCCCACAACCTGGGCATGTGCCCTGACCAGGAATCGAACCAGCGACCTCCTGGAGTGTGGGTCGATGCTCAACCACTGAGCCACACTGGCTGGGCAATACATGGAGCTTTTTAAATTCCTTTCTTAAAGTAATTTACCTGAAGATCCCGCCTGAGCCCATTGATCCAGTCCTCAAAATTGTGGTCAGAAAGTAGGAACCTACCTTGAGGCTTGGGCTTAGTCAGCTTGCCACAGGGCTTGGAGATGGTGACAGTCTTCTGGCAGTCGGCGTTGTGGAGGGCTCTCTTCAGACTTCCGGTTCGGGTCTTCAAGGCCGTGTTCAGGTCGCATTCTCCCCAGGCCTGGAATTGGTATTTGCACTCCGCTAAAGGCAGGAGAGGACCAAACAGAAATCTTTGAAAGACCCTATGACGGTATCATAAACATAAAGACATTTTTGTTTTTAACTCTTTGTAGTAGGTCACTGTAGACTCACAGGAGGTTGTAAGACATAAGAGACATATGCCTCAACTGTCACATTGTCCATGGCCGTAGTCCAATAGCACAGTGAAGACACTGACATGGATACATTCCACAGGACCTGTTCAGGTTTCACATGCATTTATTTGGGTGTGGGTGTGGGGGCAGGAGGGATTTAGTATCAACAGTATGTTCCTTTTCATTGCTGAGTAATATTCCACGGTGTACAGGGTGGGGCAAAAGTAGGCTTACAGTTGTTTATATGGAAAATCAAGACAATAATTACTATATCATGATACAAGAATCAACTCTGTGCTTCATATAAACCTACCTGTGCCCCAGCCTGTATATGCACCACAATTTCCTTAACCATTCACCTGCTGAAGGACATCTGGGTGGTTTCTTGCTTTTGGTTATTACAGATAAAGCTGCCATATATATTCATATACACATTTTTGTGGAAATATACGCTTTCATTTCTCTAGGATCAATGTCCAAGAGGGAAATAGCTGTATTGTATGGTAAATACATGTTTGGTTTTGTTTTTAAAATACCTGCCATATTCCTTTCTTTTTATTTTATCTTCAATCGAGGACATTTTTCCATTTTTTTGTTCAGATAGAGTGGGAGGGAGAGAGAGGGAGAAACATTGACGTGAAAGGGACACATCGAGAGGTTGCCACCCACACGACCCAACCAGGGCCAGGGACAAACTGCAACCGAGGTACATGACCTTGGCGGGAACGGAACCTGGGTCTCTCGAGACCACAGGCCGACGCTCTAACTGCTGAACCGAACTTGCCAGGACTGTTTGTTTGTTTGTTTGTTTGTTTGTTTGTTTGTTTTTTGCCATATTCCTTTCTAATGTGGCTTCACTGTTTTCCATTCCCATCAGCAATGTATGAAGGATTTGGTTTTCCTACATTCTCCCTGGTATTTGGTGTTATTTTTTATTGTAGCCACTCTGATAGGTGCACGATATATAGTGATAGCTCGTTAGCTCCCATTTCCCTACCGGGGGAAAACATTGAACATCATTTCAGGTGTTTGCTAACGATATATCCCCTTTGGTATAAAGTTTGGTCATGTCTTTTGCCCACTTTATAAGAGTTTATCATATATTCTACCTACAAGTCTTTCGAAGACACACTTTAAAACACATTTTCCAGGTGGATCTTTGTGGTTCCTTCTATATAATTTAAGATCCAATGTTTCTGAATTTCACTCGGCTTTTATAGAACTTGCCTCCATTCATAAAGAGTACCCTAAAGGTTATAGAAAATGAAAAAGATATTATTGTCCTTCTCCAGTGGCCTATAAGCCAGAGCACATTTCTGTAGGACAGGGAGAACATTTGGGACACCATAGCTGAGCACCAGTGTGGAGGGTGAGGGAGGGGTCAGAAAGTAAGATTCGGAAAGTAAGAGAGATCTGGAAAAGTGGGAGAATAAATTTAAAAAAAGGGAAAGAGCCCTGGCTGGTTTGACGCAGCAGTTAGAGCACTGGCCTATGGACTGAAGGTTTGTGGGTTCGATTCCCAGTCAAGGGCACGTACCTGGGTTGCAGGTTCAATCCCCAGCCTCAGTCAGGCTCATGAGGGAGGCAACCGATCAGTGTGTCTCTCTCACATGAATGTTTCTCTCTTTCTCCTCCTCTCCCTCTCTCCCTTCCATTCTATCTAAAAAAATCAATGAAAAACTATCCTCTGGTGAGGATTAACAAAAATAAAAGCTAAAAGGGGAAAGAAAGACACAAGAAACTTAGAAGAAGAAAATAAAGGAAGGAGAAAATAGATCAATGAACATTATTAGGAGGAACCAAGAGTATCTCTTTTGTCCCTGTGGGTACGGCAGTGGTTCTCAGTAAGGGACGATATTGACCCTCCCCTCTCCCCAGAGGATATTAGACAACATCCGGAGACACTTTAGTGTCACAGTTTGCTGAGGTGACCAGTGCTAGTGGACACCAGTGGGCAGAAGCCAGAGATGGTGCTAAATATCTTACAATGCACAGAACAGCCCCCCACAGCAAAAACCATCTGGTCCAAAATGTTTGTAATGCTGAAGCTGAGAAACCCTGGGGTTAGGCAAAAGGTCTTATCATTTTTGTACCTGATACAAATATTTAAAATAAAGGGTAGTCAACCTCACCATGATATTTGGTGGAAGAATGCCAGAATTATGTCGCAATGGAAGATCAAATCAGTAGGACCACAGCGGAGCGGGGCGGGGGCTCACCTCCAAATTGCTTTTTCCAGTTGCAAGGGATCTTACATCTCTGGGTCTTCATGGTTTGTTTGCATTCGGCCCCACTCCGGGTGCCCTCCCGGGTGCCCAGCCCGCAGTCCCCGCTGGTGGGCACACACACACTCCACTGCCATGCTCCGCAGTCAGACTTCTTCACTTTTTTCTCTGGAAGGAAGGACAAATAGCCAACATCCTGAAAGCTCTTCAATGCCTATGCATAACTAAGTCCCATCCTGAGCGCCTTCATCCCAGGGTCTCTGCTTTTCACCTCTAGCTCCAGTGTCCAGCGAATAGCAGAAACTGCACAGGTGTTCACGGAATGCGTGAATCAATGAATGACCAAGACCAGGGAGAAAGAAAACTGAGGAAGGAGCTAGAGCGACTGTTAATTTAACTCTTACGATGTGCCAGGGGTGTGTTCAGTGATCTACTGACTTGTACTCTTAGGAGCAAACATTTCTCCTAAGGGGAGAAAGTCAAAAGACAGTTCAGCCTACAAAATAAGAAAACATTCTATTAAAAACAACAGTTGTCAAACTAGCATTTCCAGCGCAAGTGGGTGTTTCTTTCTCCGTCTCATAGATTAGCAAACTACAAATGTGGTGTGAACGAACCCCCAGCTCCTCAGACACATAGGGGAGTGATGTGCACAGGTGCTCTCTGTGCTCTGAGCTTCAGGTTCCTCCTTTATTAATGGGAAAGAAAACACAAGTTCCTTGAAGGCCTTTTTTTGAAGAGAGAAGCAACACAGGTAAAGCACCTGACTCCTGGTCAAGGGTTATATTAGCAGAGCAGCTGCTAATATGATCATTATGCTAATGATCATCATCTGCATTTCAGGATTTTCCAGGGGCGGGAATGAGGCAGGATGTTGCGACGTTAAAGAGTGCGGAGCGGTGCCCTCATCACCCCGCGCTTACCTGGCTTCTCCTTCTTCGCAGCTCCAGCGGTGTCCACGGCCACCAGAATGAACACGAAGGCCAAGAAGACAGCTGCAAGTTTCCGACGCTGCAGCCGGTCCTGTGGGGACTGCATCCTAGGAGGAAACAGAGAAACAGGAGGTGGTGTCAACCCCAGTCAGACAGGAAGGCTCCCGGGACTTCCTGAAGAAGGGCTTCATTTTCCATTTCGGGAATATCAGACTTAGGAAGGTTTATGTCAACGATCTCGTGGGCAGTTCTCTCTTTTCTCTCCGACAGGTCGCTTGAGCACCGTCATGCATCACTGATGAAATCCAACAGTTCTCCACGAAGACTGCACACAGCCATTTGCTACGTGTGACTGGAGAAGGACAGAAGCAAAGGCCTTCCGATGCGTGTGTTGGAGCGACTCCTTCGGTGAGTCTTGCTGACAGTGAGTGACACTTGGTAGTGTCAGTAACCACAGTCCTGTTCGCAACTCTTGACAATTCCTAGAAATGGCTGTGGTGTTGTAGTTTATGTGGATCATTTGAATGGACACAATGAATGGATTATCTGTGCAAATGCATGTTCGCTGTTATCTTTAGATGTACCAGTATTGACCAATATCTCTGATTTTTTGACCATTTTCCATGATCATAATTATCTTATTATCATCATTGTTCTATTATGCATTGGTCCACCGAAGAGTGAAGAACAAAGTAGAAGTAGGGACAGCACCCCTTTACATATATCTATCAAACACACAGAACTCACATGTGCTAAATGTCCTCAAAAGTGTAGGATAATGAAGAGTTCACACTCACTCATAATTTAAAATTCTCCACATTTGATATGAAGCAAAATCCCAGAATAACATTAGAAAACTCCCTCAGAATAGGATGTCACTTGTGACAGCTGAGTGTCCACACGGTCACCTTGAGATGTCTATGTCCAAGTCCCAGGACACCCACTTCCCAGGGGCTGCACCTTCACCTGGCAGTTATTTATCCCCATCTGGTATATCCTTGGTTTTTTATATAAAAATGACAATGGTCCGGCCGGTGTGGCCCAGTGGTTGAGCGTCGACCCATGCACCAAAAGGTCGTTGGTTCGATTCCCAGTCAGGACACATGCCCAGGTTGTGGGCCCGATCCCCAGTGGGGGGCATGCAGGAGGCAGCCAATCGATGTTCTCTCTCATTGATGTTTCTCTCTCTCTCTCATTTCCTCTCTCTCTAAAATCAATAAAGAAAAAGAAATTAAAAAAATAAAAATGACTTATGGTTGTTAGCTCTGAGGATTTTCTTTCCCAAACTGGCAATAGATAATTTTAGATGACTTTACACTAATTAGTGACTTGCCAGCTCCATCAGTTTCTAAAATGTGACATTGGGAGCTCTGTTGTTCCTCCTAAGGCTACACGTGTTTAACTCTACCACTGAGAGTCACGTTGCAACATTCCCAGTGATTCCACACTTTTCCAACGTCTTCCATCGAATGATATGAGACACCAGTCTAGACCTACTGGTTGGCAAGTCTGAGTACCCTGGTATGTCTATACTACCATACCTTTTTTTTTTTCTTTATCGATTTTAAAGAGAGAGGAAGGGAGAGGGAGAGAGAGAGAGAGAGAGAGAGAAACATCGATGAGAGAGAGCATTGATTGGCTGCCTCCTGTATGCTCCCCACTGGGGATCCAGCCCACAACCCAGGCATGTTCCCTGACTGGGAACCAAACTGGTGACCTCTTGGTGCACAGGTCAACGCACAACCACTGAGCCGCACCGCCGGGCTGTACTACCATACTTTTGAATCACACATTCCAAGTCCGTTGACAATGGTTAGGTGTGAAGTGAACCAAAGGGGAGGATTCCGTTTTTTTCAAAGGCTCTCCGACAACCTAACCTCCGTGACTGACCACCCTGGAGGCAGAAACTTTTCACTTAAATTTTCTTAAAGGGTAAGTTAACTTTTAAATTCAAAACTTTTATATTTTAATGTACTCCTTGCCCAGTTAGAATTTTGCCTTCATGTTTAATGATGATCCATGAATACCTGAAGCGTTTCAAGTGTGGATTAGATTACTGTGGGAACAGAAAGTCCCACTGAGAAAGCACAGCTCTGGAGACAACCTCCTGACCACGCGGTCCTTGTAGAGTCTGGTGAGGTACAGCGGAGAGCGAGGTCATACAGGGCTCCCTTAGAGCCCTCTGAAGAAGCAGCCAGGTGGCAGAACTCTTCCTTCTATAAATAACACACACACACACACACACACACACACACCGTGGCCAGTTTGGCTTAGCAGTGAGAGTGTCAGCTGGAGGACCAAAGGGTCCAGTCAGAGTTGTGCAGGACGCAACCAATTACTATGTCTCTCTCGAATCTATGTCTCTATGTCTATGTCTTTCTCTCTCTCAAAAAAAAAAAAATATTCAATGAAAAAATATTCTCAGGTGAGGATTAACAACAATCTCTCACATACAGTTACAACAATCTCTCACATACAGTTATTAACAAAACGGTGCTATTACTATCTAATTTTAACCTCAGCATATCTTGTTTTATTTTATAATTATTTTTAGGAAGCTTTCTCATAGTATATTCAATTCACTTAACTTCAAAGAAAAAATATCTCATTTAGGCCAGGATTTCCTAACTATAAAATTGTTTTTGAGTCATAAGGCGGTCTATTAAAGGAGTTATTATAACTGTGGTGTGAGCCCAGAGGAAGGAAGGAAGGAAGGAAGGAAGGAAGGAAGGAAGGAAGGAAGGAAGGAAGGAAGGAAGGGAGGGAGGGAGGGAGGGAGGGAGGGAGGAAGGGAAGGAGGGAGGGAGGGAGGGGAGGAGGGAAGGAGGAAGGGAGGGGAGGTACAAATTGGGATGAGGGTCAAAGGGTTAGTTGAATGGAAATGCACTCTATCAGCTTTTGATACTAATTTATTATTTTTTAATTTTTATTTTTTTGTTAATCCTCACCTGAGGATATTTTTCCATTGATCTATAGAGTAGAAGTGAAGGAGAGAGAGAGAGACATCGATGTGAGAGAGACATATTGATCGGTTGCCTCCCAAAGGACCCCAAAGGGGACCAGGTATCCAACCTGCAACCCAGGTATGTGCCCTTGACTGGGAATCGAACCCATGACCCTTCAGGCCATGAGCCAATGCTCTAATCACTCTGCCAAACCAGCAGGACTTGATATTTATTTATAACAATCCACAAATTAAGAAGTGGGTTCATGGTGAATTTCAGCTTTAGAAGTCTGAAGGAAAAATCCCCACTTGTCCATGTATACAGGGAGTCAACTGTGCAAAGGATGTGATCAAAAACAGGTACACCTTTCTCCTTCTCAACCTCTTCTCCCCTTCCTTAGGTTTTGTCGTCATCCTGCTTAAGCCTATATTTTGATTTTTTTTTTCTTTATTGATTTTAGAGAGAGAGGAAGTGCGAGGGAGAGAGAAACAGAAACATCGATGTGAGAGAACATCGATTGGTGCCTCCTGCATGCCCCTCACTGGGGATTGGGGATCAGACTCACAACCTGGGCATGTACTCTTACTGGGAATTGAACCAGCAACCTTTTGGTGCATGGGTCAACGCTCAACCACTGAGCCATACCAGCCGGGCGAGCCTATATTCTGAGAGCTTAGATTTTGCTGGGTAGAGAAAATAAATAAAGGTTATTTAAAAGAAGAGTAAAGGGTCTTAGAAAAGGGATGATTAAAATTATGTAAAAAATTCAAGTGTGCCCACACAATACCCAATTAACACGTGGGTGCCTGGCTGTTGTAGTAAAGACTTGAGTAATTAGGATGGGTGAGGATAATGGGTCCCTGTGGGCGTGGTATTTGCTTAGTTGAACATTTGTCCTTAAGCATCATATGAAGGTGAAAATCTCTCCCTGTATATAGCATCTGTGTACCTGGTTTTATCTTTTTAACCCTGTCTGCTCTCCAACAGAGCAGAGGCAAGAACATCGTTCTTAAGAAAGTGGCCAGGATCATAATTTATTTTTCATACTGAGGGAAATAAAACAATGGAAGAAGAATGCTTGCTAAATCAGCTCAGTTCTTTTGAATAATTCACTTATTCTCACCCCCTCCGACTGCCATCTTTATTGTATTTGTCCTGGCAGATTTAATTTCAGAGGGTTTAATGGTTAAGTTGAAGACAATCACTGATGGGGGCTGGTGTCTGGAAATTATTATTGAGAAATCTCAATCACTAATAAGTCTGAAGCTCAAAGATGAAAGAAAAATAAAGATAAAGAAACCAATTCAGAGGAAAAGGGTTCACTTACTAAATCCTGATCTCTTCAGAAAAATGGGTGATTAGAAGGAAAAGCGAGCTCCCCCTTTCTTTAGCATTTTAATAGGATCTAGAAGTTTTAAAGATGATTAATACCTGGTGTAAACAGAGGACAAAGATACTAGAATCTGTCCCATAGTGATCTGTTTGGGAGAACTAACATGGGACTTGAAGGCTTTGGCTCAAACTTCAGCTCCAACATCTAATTTTTGGAATGTCTTTGGGCAAATCACCATCATCTGAACCTCTGTTTTGTCATCTGTAAAATGAGAGTGATTATAGCAACTACTTGACAAGCCTGTCATGAAAATGCAAGATGTAGACATAGATATAACCAGAACATTAAGAAGTATATTATTAATGAAAAAGGTTAATTCATTCTCACACTCTTATTATTTATAAGAAAGTACTTTTAAAAAAATCCTTCCCTGAGGATATGTATATTGATTTTAGGGAGAGAAAGAGAAAGAGAAACATCGATGCAAGAGAAACATCGATTGGTTGTTTCCCATATGTGCCCAGACTGGGGATTAAACCTACAACCTATGTTATGTGCCCGGATTGGGAATTGAACCTGTGACATTTTGGTGCTTGAGATGGGATGATGCTCCAACCCACTGAACCACACTGGCCAGAGCAGGAATTACTTTTTGAAGTAAGAAATAATAAGCATTGCACTTTGAGTTTTCTAATAATATCCAAAAGCAAAAGACAAAAACACAAGACAAGAATGAGAGAGAGAGATGATTTAATGTCATCTAAAGACGATCCAGCCTTTTCAGGGCACAAATTCATTTTGCCCTTTGACTTCTTGGAAGGCTAAAATA